AAACCCGAAAAGCTCTACTTCTTGCTTGGCTGGGAACACTTGTGCAGTGTACTGGCATCGATGATCAGAGCAGGTTCCAAACATTGTGTGGGCTTAAAGATGTGCCACAGCTCGATTTAGAAGCAGCAGACCGACCTAGCTCCGCCGGCAGCAATTGGTTCTCTGTTCGTTCTGTTCGTTGGAGCTCAGAGCTCCCCAAAAATTGCGTGAGTCACATTGATGCGTCCCATTCACGGCAACCTTTAGTAAAAGGCGAAAGATTGGTGCGCTATGAAGTGAACGCTGTGATGACCAGGCATGGAACTTTCGGCTTCTGCAGACAAGCTTCAGAGTGCTCAGCATACAGACATTTATGGATCGAGCCTCAGAGTTCCACCGTTTTCTCGACGTGTGCAAGCAGTTTCCAACAGTCAAAGTCAAAGCAGCCCGTTGCAACATGCATGGAGCTGCCAAACCCATCTGCATGCAGCAGGGTTTCGTCCAGAAACAGCAGCAACCTTGCTGCAGAACACCAGTCACCAGTTAGTGTGCAATGTTGTTGGGCCGAAGCCCACGTAAAAATTGCAAGAATGACCTTGACGATCAAACTTGACGGGAATTGGAGTAGTTTTCACCTAGCAAACAGCGCACCTCCGCTAAGCGTCACTGATAGCGCTATTGCCCCTTCCGCAAGGATGCCTGAGGCTGGATCCTCCGGGGAATCATTTTGTGGCTAGAACCAATCATTCCTGTTGTCAAAAAGCAAGCAGCAAGATTAAGAAAACCGGCAGCTAGAACTATAATCATTCCAGTTTTTCAAAAAGCAAAATTAAGAAAATGGGCAGCAACCGCCTCTTCCCTTCTTGGCCGAGCATAGTTACCCCAGTAGGGTGTGCTGCCACTGGCTTGGTGCGATGCCAGCGCAACACGTGAAGGCTTCTGAGCGAGCTCATGAAGACACTTCCCCAGCAAAAATAGATGTGACAAGCAAGTCTCCAGTTGGAGACATATCAGTTGTCACACTGATAAGAACAGATACTACACTTGATCATAGCCAAAAGGCCGAGAAGGTATGCTCTAGGGTGCAGATTTCCAGATCTTGTGTGCAAGTGGCAATTGGATTGTATGCAACATATCGAATCGTTTTCAATTTGGAGGTTCCAAGAAAGAACGTCCGAGCAAGATTCAGTTGCTCTGACCAACTTCTCATTTGGAGTTCAGGGTGGAGAAGCTCTGGATTTCGAGTCTTGAGTTGAAAGTACGAGGCCATGTTTTAGAAGGGCGTCTTCGGCGTGCCGACTAGTCTTTCTTGTGGGGGGTGGTCAGCACGGGGAGAGTGCGGGTTTTCTAGAGCTCATGATGCATGATTTTAAACATGCTCTTTTTGAAGAATTTGTTTAGTATTGAAGAAAATTTTTCATGTGCGAAGCATGGACTTGTTGAGAATTGTTCTATGGCTGCGCTGCTACTCAAGGGCGAGAGAAAAATTTTCTTGAGACTGGGGGCTTATATCTGTCTAGCAGGTTCTGAGCCCCCTACTTCAGTGCTTTCGATAGAGGTGGGCCCAGCCATGCAGGCCTCTTTGGCCAGAACAGCTCAGCTGAGAGACCTTGCCAGCTTGATTTGGGCCTGCCTTTTCTCTGTCGAGCGCCTGCAATTGCTTAGAGTAAGCTGGCAAGTCCGTTTTAGCTTCTTCTGTGCCCAACCTTGATATGAGTGATTTTTCTGCACAGGGCGCAGGTGTTCCGACAGAGCCCGCCGGGCCGATTCATCAGGGGAGAGAGGCGGCGGAACCGTCGGGCTGCCATTTGCCGGTGGGAGAGTCCGTGTCTTCTGAAAGCCGCGTGTCCATGTGGCACTTGATTGATGAGCGGCCTCTGCCTAGCGAGGCGGACGACAACATCCCGGAGTCTGAAGATTTAAATTTTCTTCTTGAGGATTCGGCTGTTGATGAGGGTGAGTGGTACAGAGAGATCAGGGACGAGGATCATGGTGTCGCTCCCAGTGAGTTTCCGCCTGGATTGGACGTTGAATCGCAAATCGGCAGAGAGAGCGAGGATCCCGTGCATGAGGTCTCTGATTCTTCGTTCTCCAGATTGGCTGCTCACAGCTCCTTCAAGAGGCTAAGGCTGGAACGACCAAGGCAGGCGTGGGAGAGCCATCCGACCTTTAACCGGAAGTCGGGTAGCTCGTCACTTCATGCTTGGGCGAGTGCTGCTTTCCTTCCATCGGTGGGTGTGCGAGAGACTTTAAACTTTCCGAAGCCGGAAGAGAGCTACGGAGGGGAAGATGCAGCCCATGTGCCTTGGACCATCGAGCGACGACTGAAGGGAGTCCGCATTCAGAGGTCCGATGAAGATGAGAGAAATCATGCTCTGAAGAAGCTTAAAGCTGTGGTGCTCCTGGACCCTTTGGCTACGGCTCTGGGTAAAAGTTTAGTGCAGAAAACGGGTGCTCTTGAGACGGAGGAGATCATTGCAGCGAGTTTTAGCGATGCTTTCAGTTCAAAATCGGCGGGTACGCTCACCAAAAGGGCTGGCTCTTTGCAGAGGCTGGTGGTTCAACTTTATAAGCAAGGGGTGGCTTCTCCGTGGCGCATGGAGGAGGCAGACTTGTATTCGGCTTTGACCACACTGCGTGAGGAAGGTTGTGGGGCAACATCACCAGCTCACATGTTGGAGAGTTTACATTTTCTTCATGCCATTGCAAGATTTTTGCATTTGGATTTGGAGCTGGTGATCTCTGCTAGATGCAAGGGTGTTGCTCATTCATGCTTTATGTCAAAGGCGCCGTTGGAGCAGCGTGACCCGCTGACATGCTTCCAGGTGCGGCGACTTGAAGAGGCAATGGTGAGAGCTGGCCCGGTTGGTCAATGTATCTTGGGACAGATTTTATTTTGCGTGCATGCCGTTTGTCGCTGGAAGGATTCCCAGAAACTAAAACTTTTGGAGCTGCTGGGCACGGGAGAGAGCCAGATTCTGTTTGGGGATGCTCTGGGAAGCAAGACGTCTTTGAGCAAGGAGGCCAAGACAAAATTTACACCATACGCGGCGCTGGCGCAGGGGCTTACTGAATGCTCTTGGGCGCGCTTGTGGATTGAAGCCAGACGCCAGTGTAGGCTCAAGTTCGGTGCTGGACCGGATGGCTTTTGCCTTCCTACGAGGTCTCAGCGACTGGATGAGTGGGGCTCCACGCCTATGGGAGCTGGTGAGGCGTCTTCCTACTTAGCGGAGATTTTGGAAGGCTCTGAAACGGAGGGACAAGTTCTGGGAACACATTCCTTGAAAGTCACCCTGCTTACGTGGGCCTCTCGATCGACAGTGGTGCGCCTGAGCAAAGGGGAACGTCTCCTGTTGGGTCACCACATTGTACCGGGGGTCAAAAGTATGGTGACTTATAGCCGCGAGGCTTATACGAGTTTGATCGGCAAGCTTTTAGCTCTTTACCGCTCGATTCGAAGCGGAGCTTTTCAGCCAGATCTCGCGCCTGCCGACAGGGTGCTACAAGTTGCTGACGCCTTGGCCGCGGCTGAGGAAGGTCAAGGCCTGGGCACAGGAGCGCGGGATGAGGCGGCCGCAGAGCAGTTGGCTGGGTTTGAGGGCGAATCGGAGGACTCCGCAGATGATGCTGAGGCCGACGGGCCCTTTGAGCTTCCAGGCCAACCTGCAGTGAGAGTGCCGTTTGCTAATGTCGATGTTTCTCAGTGCCGGATTCATAGTATATCAGGCATTGCGCATTGCCTTCGGGATGCAAGCTTCTTCTACTGTGGTCGTTTGTGCACTTCGAGATACTCCAGATATTCTGGAGTTGGGACTGAAGATCCCGATGTATGCATGCAATGTACGAGAGCCATGAACGAGTGAGGCAGAGGATATGCGCATTTGTTTTGCAGATGCTATTCCCTTGGCGCCTGGGAGCGGTGCCAGAGAGAGGGGATTCGAAAGAATATGCGTACTTGTTATGCAAATGCTACTGCCCCTGGCGCCTGGGAGCGGTGCCAGAGAGAGGGGATGAATATGCGTACTTGTCGTGCAGATGCTACTGCCCCTGGCGCCTGGGAGCGGTGCCAGAGAGAGGGGAGTCGGAAGAATATGCGTACTTGTCATGCAGATGCTACTGCTTGGCGCCTGGGAGCGGTGCAATATGCGTACTTGTCATGCAAATGCTACTGCCCATGGCACCTGGAAGCGGTGCCAGAGAGAGGGGAGCTGGGTGAGAGCTCGATTGCAAGTCCAATGGCATCTGGCTCCAGCTTCGAGGCAGTATCGCTTGAACTCATTAGGGAAACATGTTCATGCGTCATTGAAGTTCTGATGAGAGGATTGTCTAGTGCAAGGGGGAAGCTGTCAGTTCTTTGTTCGTGAGATCGCGAAATCTTGGTGTATCATGGCTTCTGCGAACCTTGATTCGGAAGCAGCTTTCTTGGACCGCGCTAGAAAGATCGGACTGTCTGAGGAAACCCTTACAGGACTCTTGAACAACAGCTTCAACACCTTTGGCCGCCTGGCCTTTGCGGTGTCGGCTACGCCAACGACTCTCACCGACGAGGCAGTGGACAACTGGATTGATGGATTGGGCATGAGACCGTCTGGTTTTCAGAAAGCCAGCCTCCGTCGGCTCCTTTTCGAAGGAGTGAGCATGGCGATTGAAGAGGTTCGTACCCGCATCGAGCCCGGCGTGGAAGGACATCCTAAGAAGTTGGCAGCGGCGGAACGCTTGGATAGGCAGGCTAAACAGGAGAGGTCTCTGGGAGGTTTGGTTTTTACTCCTGAAACCCGGCCAGCCAACTCGTGTGTAGATCTGTGCGTGGAAATGCTTGAAACAGGTGTGTTGCAGTATCACGTTCCAAGCAAGTGGATTAGTAGGGCGCAGGAAGCACAGTGCTTGAAGAGGGACAGCAGCATAAACATTGATGCCGACAACAACCTGAAGATTGCAACCAAATCTGCAGATCAGACATGTGACGTTTCATCAGAGATGAGGTTGCGCCAGGCTTGGAGCCGCCGCTCCTTAGCCTTCGATTTGGCGAACCTTGCAAGCTTCAGGGTCATGGAGGAACATGTTCAATTCTTGTTTTCAGTTCTTCAGAGAGCGCAGCCGAAGGGCTTTCAGGGTGTCATGCTTTCACAAATCATTGAGGCAGATAAGCAGATGTTCATTCTTGCAAGCAACAACCTCATGGGACGTCTAACGGCCTCGCCAGGGGCGGCTCCTGCTTTGGACGCGGAGATCAGTAGACTGTCTAGGAGCCCTGACATCATGCAGTATTTGGCACCCTTGCAGAACCCTGTAATCCCACATGTACCTTGGACCCCTCCCAAGGGAGATGGCAAAGGCAAGAAGGGAAAGGACAAGGGGAACAAGGGAAAGGTCGCGACAGGTTCAAAGTTAGATTTGCCGGAGGGCTGTGTGACCAAAGATGATGCGAACAAGCCTTTGTGTTTCGCTTATAACACGCACGGTTGCAAGAATACCTGTAAGCAGGGCCGGTGCATAAAGGGCTACCACAAGTGTTGGAAAAAGGGTTGCTTCGGAAATCATCCGTACACCAGCTGTCCGAAGGCTGGTGCCTGAAGGTCCCTTCCATTGAGTGCGTCCATCAGTGGAGGGAGCGACGGGGGCGCATTGCAAACTGGGGACCTGCTGGTCCCTGATGCTGAGGGGTGGTCCAAGGCCCGTTTGAATAAACCAGGCCAAATCACGAGTGATGATCTCTTGACCTTGTTTGATATGCTCCCTCAGGGAAATCTTCAGAAGGGTCAGAGAGAAGTGAAACAGTCCTTCGTAACCGGCTGTTACTCCCAAGGTGGATTCCGTGGGTTGCGTAAGGAGTGTGCAGAGTTTCCATACGCAAGTCGTGTCATGACCCGCTTTGTGCAGGAGCGTCTTCCAGGTCATGTTTTCTCCACATGTGGCATTTTTGCAGACAGTCTCACGCCTTTGCATCGTGACGGCCGCAATGCGCAGTGGCCGAATGCGGTTTTTCGCTTGAGTGATTTTAAGGAGGGGGGCTTATGGATAGAGGGCCGTGGGGACGATGTTCGAGTCTTCAATTCTAAAGAGCTGGTTGGAGCGGTTCACGAAATTGGGGACGATCCGCTTATCTTTGACGCTTGGTCTAAATACCACGAAACTGAACCTTGGACAGGTCGAAGAGTTGTTCTGATCACTTGGGTTGTGCAGCAACTTGAAAAATTAGAACCGAAGGATGTAGAGGCAGCGCACCAATTGAACTTCGTGCTACCTCCTGAGGTGCCGTTGCCTGTGCAAACGGCGCAGCTGGGAGAACGGCCACCCATGGTGTTTGAGGTTTTCGCAGGCAAAGGCCTCTTGTCCCGGGCCCTGATGCAATGCGGATTCGCTGTCCACAGTTTCGACCAACATCATTGCGATTCTCATGTGCCCATCTCGCAGCTGGATTTAGCAACAGACTCAGGGCAAGCTTTGTTCTGGGACTTTCTTGAGACACAGCGCCCGTTTGCAATACATTTGGGCGCCCCATGTGGGACCAGCAGCAAGGCCAGAGGCAGACCGTTGTACAATGGACAGCCGGGACCCCAACCTCTTAGGAGTAGTGAGTTCCCGCTAGGCCTGCCCTCCTTAAAGCCGGGGTCAGTTGAGGCCACTCGTGTAAAGTTGGCAAACCGTTTGTATGCCTTCACATATCGCATTTTGCGATATTGCCTGGAGCACGACATAGTGGTCAGTCTTGAGAATCCCGCAAATAGTTTCCTATGGGAGGTGTTGCAAGCCTTTGAGCCACAAGGGGTTGCTAACCGTATCCTTCCCAGACTGCAGTCCATCATCTTTGACTTGTGTTGCCATGGGGGCTTTCGCCCCAAACGCACAAAGTTGCTTGCAACGCCTGGCTGCTTCGAGCCGTTGCGTGCCCTTTGCGATGGAAAGCACATGCACAAACCTTGGGGACAAGTTGTTGAGTTTGGCTCCGTTCGGTATGCCACCAAGGATGAGGCGGCCTACCCAGCATTGTTTGCCTCTCGCTTCGCTTCGTGTGTGGAGCGCAGGGCTTTGTCGCTAGGCCTCAACCTGTGTCGTCGCCCATCCCCTAAGGACCTCTCGCTGGCCATGTTGGGCCGACAAAACAAGCGTCATCCGCCGCTGGTTTCCGAATACCAGTCTGTGATTACTATGCCAGCCGTAGCATTCAAATCGCCAAAACACTTGAAGCTCTTGCGCAGCATCGGGGGTGAGGAGCTTCGAGCTTCCACTGAGCCAAACCCTAACACCCCTTTGGGACGGACCATCCCAGAGGCCTCGAAGCCTACCAGTAACACCTCTTCGAGAGGGACCATCTCGGAGGCCAATACCCCTAGTAGTTCACGGGATCCAGCTGAGAGGGTTGGTGACCGGGTTAGGGTTGGGGTATACAGGACTCCTGAACAGTTTGTAGAGGAGGCTAAGAAGGTCATTCATCCAGTAGATTCTTCAAACCCGCTTGAGAAAGCCACGTTGTTTGCCTTGAAAGAAAACTTGACTAAAGACCCGAGGCTCATAGTCTTGAAGCGAAACTTGGCGGTGGCGCGAGTGAAGCAGGAGGTGAAGAGATGCAGTGATGCTGAGGCGGAGCTTCGCAAGGCCATGCACCCGGCAGTGGCTAAGGTTATGAGCGGCAAATCCATTTTGGCGTTGGAATCTTTACTCAAGTCCGAGGGCTATGACGATCTTGAAGTCATCGGTTTCTTAAAAGAAGGGGTAAGGTTGGTCGGAACTTCCCAATGCCCAGAATGCTTTGATCGTAAGTTTGTCCCCGCTTTCTTGACAGAGACGGAGCTCATGGCCTCAGCGGCCACCAGACGAAAGTCCTTGTTGAGTAAGTTCGAAAAGGTAGACCCGGAGGAGGCACGGATCTTGAAGGAGGCCACGGATGAGGAAGTGGCCATGGGCTTTTTGGAGGGCCCCTACTATGATCAGAGCCAGATTACGAAATTGCTGGGAACCAACGATTGGACAGTCATCAGAAGGTTTGTTTTGCTCCAGGGGGCAGAGCTGAAACCCAGACCCATAGACAACTGCTTGGAATCCCAATTAAACGCGGGCTACAGCTCCAGCATTCACCTGCGGTTACAAGATTCGGACTACATCTCAGCCATGGCCCTCCACGTAGCGAGGGAAGTGAGCGAAGGCCGAGCGCACAAGGATGCATCGGAGTGGAAGGGCAAAACACTTGACCTCAGCAAAGCTTACAAGCAACTTGCTATCCATCCGAGTCACCGACCTCTTTCAGTAATTGCAGTTAGGCAATCGGACGGAAAGGATGCCTTATACATTTCGAACTCGCTCATGTTTGGTAGCACTGCAGCGGTTTATGCCTTTAATAGGGTTTCCAGGGCCCTGTGGTTTCTCTTGAACAAACTTCTATGTATACCAGCTGCCGTCTTCTTCGATGACTATCCTTTGATGTCGCCGGCAGGTAGCGCAGAAAACGCAGACTCCACGGCGAGTGCATTCTTGGATGCCCTAGGATGGCGTCACGCCAAGACGGGCGCAAAAGGACGCCCCTTTGCGTCAGACTTCGACGTCCTTGGTATGCATTTGGGTTTAGGTGATCTTGCTAAGGGTACTGTAGTCTTAGCAAACAAACAGGGCAGGATAGAGAGGATTGTTGACCGTCTTCAGGAAATCAGCTTGAAAGGAGAAATCCGACGACACGAGGCTCAGGTCATCCAAGGCCTGTTGCAGTACGCCTCGGGCTTTTACGCAGGCCGATCGCTGAAGCATGCGTCGCACATTCTTGCGAGGATTGTTGGGGGTCTGCACTTTAGTCCTAGGGACCTTAGTGACTTCTGTAGACACACCGTTTCTTTGCTGAAGCACGAGAACCCTAGAGTCTTGAGCTGTGCGA